AAATACGAGAATGACTCGTTCCCAAATGCAGCCTGGTGAGGGGACAGCAGGGATGAGCAGGGTTTCCACGCCCCTGAGTACCAAAAAGCTAGCTGATGGCAGAAGTGCATTCTGTATTGCTGGGGAAGTCAACAAATTCCCTAAGAGGATATTGTAATAGGAATATTCATCTTTGAAAGCTTATTATGGGTGAAAGGTTGGTGTCTTCTCTTCTTGCTGGTTTTCCCAAATCCTAGTAAGGATGCTGTAAGGCTCAGAAGTGAGGCTGCTAAGGCTTACTGAGACTAAGGTTCGTTTTGTGCATAAGATATTACACTGTTATATGGGGAAGGTATAATGCTACCCCTGAGATGACAGACTGAATAAATGGTCAGTTAACATCACTTTATTCACCACAAACTGGGATCAGACGTCACAGTATTAGGAAATACAGGATTCCATGAAAACTGCATGGTGGGATGGTGTCATGGGATATGTGAATCATTTTTTTCTGGGAAAGACAAGCTGAACTGCTGGTACAATAGCTGAGTCTTTACTCAGTCTTGTCATTTATATGCTGGTATGATTACCTTTCTCTTTCTAATAGCAGAAAATCAGGTCCACAAGGTTCTGTTTGGACAGCATAATTAACGGAAAGAATAGCTTCATTACCAGGTTGTTCTGGAAACCAGAATCTGCCTTAGCGGTACAAAGATTATCTTCCTGCAGGAATCAACACATACCAGTGTGAACTGCCGCCTAAACCCAGGCCTTGAATGAGGGCTCCAGCAGCACTCTGCTATCTGCTTATTATCTGGGAACACCCTGGGGTTGGCTACAGCTGTCCCAAAAACCTCATGTCAACAGCAGCTGGAGCAGGCTGCTCAGGCCAGCGCTGATTACTGGAGAATGACAGAGTTCTGTCCGGGAAGTGCTGTGGGGCTGTGAGGTGTTATCTTATTCTGATAAGGTTTTCTTACAGTTCTGCTCAGTGCTCTCCTACAACACAAAATGTCCCCTCCCAAAAACTGCAAGAGCCCTGTGAAACTGCCAGCTGTAGGGAAGGAGAAGCAGAGATGGCCACATCTTACTCTTAAAACAGAAATTATGACTGTTCCTGTTTAAACTTATAGCAGCCTAGTAGAGCCAGAGAAAGATGTGGGAAATCAGATTAAATTCCACCTTTTGAGACTCCATCCATCAGCATTCTGGTTTAGAAGCCCATGAGTTTGACACTGAACAAAATGACTGTTCCTTTCAGAGAAGAAAACAATTGCCAAAATGTCCATGTAGAAAATGAGAATAACAGTTCTAATATAGGTTTTTGTGCTTTAGCGTTCTCTCCACTTCTTTACCTAGAAAATTGCCATATTACCTGGAAAAAAGTATTTTTGTATTTTGCTGCTTGAGGGGGAAAGAGCTAATTAAATTTGTAAAAGTGGAAAATAATGTTAAGAGGTCTTTGTAGGCCTGTGGTTCTGACTGCTGGTGTCAGCTTTACTGCCAATATGTGCAGATGGTAATGAATGAGCTACCATCAAGCTTCCTTTATTGTCCTAGGGCCTCACTCAGCTCATAAATGTCTTCACTGGTTATTATTGCCAGTTATTTAGTGTTCAGCTGGTGAGTGCAGCACTCCCATTGATGCTGCACCCCAAACCACCAGAGCAGGATAAGTAATGGCAGTTTTTCAACCAAGCCCTGTAACCCAGCTCAGAGAGGCTGCAGAGGATGTGCTGCAGCAGCCACACGTGAGCCAACGTCAGCACCGAAACCAAGCCCTCCCCAGCTGAGTTGTTTGTACATAAATGACTTTCTAGCAACAGCCTGGGCCCCTGGGACATGTAGAGCAGCGAGGCAAGGCCAGGCACAGCCCCAAGAGGGACACTGTGCAAAGCTGCTGGCTGTGCAAGTGGGTTTGAGAGGGGTGATGGAAGGTGGTGGATCTCCCAGTGGGCTCCAGGACTTTTGGGTAATGTATTTAGCCTTTCCACAGAACACGCTGTGCAGAATTTTGCATAGCCAGAGGACAGCATTTCTTCTCACAAACAAGGACATAATAGTCTTTTCCAGAATAAGAATATAAATTACTTTCCCTGTAACAGCATTTGAAGCTGTGGGCAAGCAGTGTTCGCTCTCTGATTTACCAGCCTGACGCCCGTGCTGGGTTCAGATCTTCAGCTCTTCAGTCCTCCATAGAAACACTTCCTTTGCCTCTTTCAGCCTGCAAACACTGTGGTGGCTTCTGGAAACCACAAACAACTGCTGTGCACTTTCCTTCAGTAATTCTTCTTTCATACCAATGGGTTCTTCTTGCAGCTGTAGCCGTGTTTCTGCCCTGCCTTGCACCTCATCCCCAGGCAAAAGCAGCAGGAAGAGCAGCTCTTCTCCTCTGCCAGGCTGGTGCAGATCGGGGTCCAAACCTTCCATCTCCATTTTGCAAACCTACTTTCTTCAAGTCTGGCAGAATATTTTCATGTCTGTTAAGCCATAAGGGCTCAGCTGGGCCTGGCTCTCTGGCCAGCCAATGCTCTCTCCTCAAGCAGCCTTCAAACCTCCCATGGAACCCCAAGGCTACTTTCCTTATGACTAGAGACTCCAAGAAATACCACCCATTTCCAATTCTCACCATGGCAGGAAGAGTTTCTTTCTTGGTATCTAATTCTCCTTAACATGTTCAAGTTTTCCTACTGGAGCTTGCTAATTTCCAAGCAGAGTTGCCTATAAAAATTTCTCTCAATTTCAACACATTTTCCCTTGCGCTGGGGCTATGGAAACAGCTGCAGGTTGCCAACTATCCTGGCTCACCTTCCCAGGAAGGCTGCAAATTTGTGTTTCCTGGGACTACAATTCCCAGAAGACAATTTCTCTTCCCCCAAACCAGGAACCAAGGCTTGCTGGGTCTGTTGCACCTTTCGAAAGGCTTCCTCCTCCCATGAGAGAGGAAGGGATGAGCATTCCTGCAGCCAGCTGGGAGCAGGAGGGAGTGTAGCAGGGGGCAGAGCATCCTTCTCAGCACAGCTCCTAGCCAGTCACAGCTCTGTGCAGAGTTAGGGGAGAGCATCTGAGGTCAATGCCTGAGGGCACTGCTTCCACTTTCATAGAACTACAACATCCCAAGCAAAAGTGGTGATTAAAGGGCTGGCTGGTGTTAAATTAAGTGTTTTTGGGACTGCATGAGAATGTTAGAAATGCCCTCCTCAGCTGTGTGTCTCCAATGAAGTAATATTTCAGCACAAAATCCTCCTCTGTAGCCTCTGATCAGACACGTTTGTGGTTCCTGCTGGAGTGGTGATGCCCAACACCCCACTGGCTTCCTCCTCGCAGGGGAACAGTCTTAGGAAAAAAATTTAAAGGAAGGACTCAACTCATGGCCCTAAGCAATCTCCATACTGTCCCATGTGATGCAACTCAGTGCTGTACTTGGTCACTTAACTACTCTTAGTCTTCCTGATTAAAACCAGCCTTTGCCCAGACTATCATTGTGTGAATCCATCAGCAGAGTCATTAATAGTGGTACAACCCTATTTGAATGGGGGGCTGTAATCTCCTGAGGGAATCCCTGGGTTTTTTGCAATCAGAAGGCAAAGGTGTTCCTTTTACAACATCCTTCTAAAGTCTGCTTTTCAAAAGATTGAAAGCTCACGACTTTGGAGTCACAAGGAGCCTCCCAAAAATCAGCAGGATGTGTCACTGGCAGGTTAGAAGGTCCCAGGCTGGTGTTTGCAGTGCAGAAAGGCCAGGCTGGGTTTTCAGCAAGCCAGAGGGGTTGGGTAATGAGCGGCATCATGTGTTCAGTGCTTTAAAAATGCAGCAGGATTTGGGGTGAAAACATGAAAAAGTCAGCTGTGGTGTTTCACAAGGATGCTTCTCCCTGTGTGCACAAGGCAGGATGACTCAGCTGCTCACTGATAGCAAGTTTGCCTTAACAAATACTGACCTTCAAACAGTCACTATGTATTATCACTAATATAAATACCAACCTGAATACAATAAACCTAACCCTCGCCTTTTTTTTCCTCCACTACTCTGTTTCCAGGAGGTTTTTCACTTAGATCTCTCCCAGGGGATCTCAGCATCCCTTTTCATCCTTTCTAGAGCTTAAGGAGAGCTTTGCTGTACAGGTTCAGCCCATCAAAAGAAAAAGGCAATGGAAAAGAAAAGCCATTCAGAATAAAGATGAGACAACATTCCCAACACCTAGATTGAAACATTTCTGGAGAGTTTATAAGAAATATCCCCATTAGCCACCTGTCTGCACAAAAATCAGTATTTGGACACCTAAATATGCCACAGCTGTCTTGCTCAGTGATCGTGGAGTGTGCTCCTTCCTCAGTTTGATCCTAGGAAGCCTCCTGGCACTGTCTGTGTCCTGTGGGAGTAGATGCTGTGAGCACCTGGCTCCCCTGGGACCAGACAGCCACCAGGCAGCAGAAGAAAGGCAGAGCCATCCTGTCAAGATATTTTAGCAAACTGGAAACACCCCAGTGGTTTCATACCACAGGAGCACACTGTACCTTGGGCTGGGTGTTCTGAGCCAGCACTTGCAATGCTGAAGCACCTTTCCCTCAGCCCTCACTGTGCAGTCCCTTGCTTGCCTGCACTTTTAAAGCAGTGTGAGTGTCCTCACAGCACAGATCTACCAAAAATGATGAAGAATGGCTGGCCAAGGTCCTACCTTTGACTTGTTTTATGAAAACTGCAGGAGATTTTTCCTTTCCATTTAGTAAGCTTAGATGTAGGAATATTATATATTTTTTTTTCTCCGAAATAAAAAGTCACTTCTTCCTACATTTAAAACAATAAGAATTGAACTACTTGTTATAAAAGAAGAAAAAGGTCATGATCCACTTGCTGTTTGGTCCCTCCATGTGTCTGGTCACACCAGAGTGACGTCGGAAAGAGGAAGCGCCTCAGAGCTGGACCTGCGCCAGGCCATCCCACACTGCTGCTGGTGTCTCCTCACCCTCTTATCTCTCCTCCTCACCCACTCGTGGGGTATCTGCAGCCCAGAGCAGCAGTGCTGCCTCCAAAGTCCTCTCTGAAGGCTTCCAGAGACAGCTGTGTCCACAGCTCAGTGCTGGGATCTCAGAGTTTCCCATGGATTAATGCCCGAGCAGAGCATTCGCATCATTCCCGGAGGCTTTGCAGGGAATTCAGATCCAGGTAAGTGCTGGCTGGTCGGAGCAGGAGTTTGCCAAGGCTGGGTACTTGTTGATGGCATGGTTAATTTTGGAATTCCACAGACAGCAGGAGAAAGTGAAGTTGTCCTCTGCCTCAGTGGCTTGATTTCATTCCTGACTCCAAAGTGTAGTTTTGCTTTAAATGGGGGAGGAACAGTGCTGCCAGGAGATAAGGGTGTTTGGATCTGGGATGGGCAGTTTGCTCAAGGCAGCCCTTGGTTTATTAAGTCAATACAGAACACTGCTATGCAGCTCTGAATCACACCCAGCAGCAGCCTCCACATCCCCAAACCAGCCTGGAGATGTTTGGTTATGGGGAGAACCCAAAGATTTGGGAACAGGCATCCTCAGAAGCAGCTTTTCAGTTACACATTAATGCAAATTCCATGTCAATGCAGGTCATTTGCATAAGGACCTGCTTGGAGAGATGCCAGGAATTGGTGTGACCCCCAAATAAATGCCAGCCCCTTTATGAGCACAGAAACCTCTGGTGTCCTCAGCTGGAAACTGTGGAGCAGATGCCAACCAAACCCCTCCAATTCATGTCATCTACCTACATGCAGGAGAGCCAGAAAATTCCAGCAGTGACCTTCCTCTGGCCTCTCTGAAATAATCTGGTATCCAGGTATGCATTAGGGACTGACAGAAAGTTAAAAACCGAAGACTGTTAGTAAAGTAAAAGCTAAGCGTGCCATTTCTGGGTGTGCTGCTGTTACCAGCTGCTGTACGTGATCCTGACAATTAAATTGCTGAAGAACCGGTTCTGGGTCAGGTTCGTGCTCCCTCAGTAAGTGTGACAGAGGGTAAAATGGGGGATCTGGCACTCCAGGGCCACTTTCATTTTAAAATTTAATAAAGACTATCACCTCTGAGGCTGTGTGCTACTGGCTGCTCAGTTTTTGTTGTGCATGTATTTGTTAATAATTGTCAGAAATCGACAGGGCAACACCAATTGGCAGCTAAGGGGGTGCAAAAACTGGGGGAAATGCAAAAATGTCAAAAATTGTGAATTCTTTAACTTTTCCCTCTGCTTAAAGAGAAGCTGATGGGTTAGCTGGGCAAATGGGCATTTCACTCACATTGGGAATCGCCCTTCTGCTCCACACCTGGTCAGAGCCCCACCTGTGCCCAGTTACTGCCTTCAGAAAAGCTTCCACGTGAAAGCGACTCATCCTGTGCTGTACACTTGGGTGTTTTTATCTGCCGAGCATGCTGGGATTTGAAATGCTCTGCTCTTCCCAGATTTATGGATGGAATTAGAGGAAGGTGAGGATTTGCCCCCAGCTGTGCTCTTGTGAAGGCTCTGCGGCTCCTGTGCTGGTGAGTACAAACAGAAATTATTGACTGGACTCTGCTGGGGCTTCATGTGTCAGGTTTTGTCTTTCTTTAATTGTTTTGTGGTTTTTATTTTTCACTTGTTCTTCCTTTTTCCGTTTTCACCCTATGGCAAAGTCTAGTTTTACATGTTTTACTTGAACTGTGAAAAATAACTGGAAGTTGGGGGAAAAAAAAGAAGAATAGAGAATTATGCTACTGGTTTTAGTGGAGGGCCTGAGCAAGCTGGGAGCAGAGTGCAGGGAACTGGGACTGATGGCAGCGCTGAGTTTGGTCTAACCTCTGAAGAGGCAGTGCTCAGCGTTTCTGATCACCTATTTTGCATGTGTGCTTGGTAAATAGGAAAATGACATTTTTGAGACTAGCTTTATGCTTCCTGATGGATTTTCAGCAGGAAAAATAAAACCTTTCTTCATGGGCTTTGTGTTGGGGGGTGGGATCTGCTTCATCTCATGTTCCCCTTCCCTGTGTTGTGTGGTGCCATGGCACGTCCAGTGGGTTTTTCCAGCCCATGGTGTGTTAAAAGTTTCATGACTCATTCAACCCCCTTTTTTTTTTTCCTATTGTAATCCATCCAATGGGCCACCACATAAAAATCCTCTTTCTGTGGCCTCCCTGCCCCTGGGCTCCCAGTGAGACAGTGGCAGTCAGGATGGTGGCTGGAGGGGACAGAGCTGTCCTGGCTGCTGGAACCCACAGCCCCAGCACTGGGACTTCAGCAGAAGCACTCACTGCTGAGCATGTGAAAGAGCAAGGTCTGGGAGCTGCCTCTGGCTCTCCAAGCTCCTCTGAGTGAGTCAGCTTCTGATTCCCAGGAGTCACAAGCTGGGGGGATACTAGAGCAACAATAATCATTGGTAACACACTGGCTTTCCATCGCCAGCAGGACCGAGTGCAGTTTTTGAACAAAATTTTGAACAGGAAAGTTTTGAAAGTTGTAACACAGCTCAGATAAAGAAGAAAACAAGTGAAAGCTGCATTATTGATCTGTGGGTGAGACATAGCTGTCTCAGCAGGCCTGTAGGCGAATTTTGAGCATTTAAGAGCAGAAGCAACTTATTTTGTTTGACCATCTCTCTACCAGATGCAGTTGCAGTTTGTCCAGATATTTGTAAATGATAATGAGAATAAACTATTCTGATCATGTAGTCTGACCTGCAGTGTCAGGCAAACCACAGGATTTATGGTTTCCTTGAACCAGTGTAGCCTTTGGAAGGAAAAAACCTCCTGTCTTTAATGAAAGCATTTTTAATGACGATGATTTTACTTTACCTGATGAAGGACTGGTTTAGTGTTCAGATTTGTGTCAAATTCAGCATTGCCTGGTTCAGATTCTGACATTCAGGTGACATCCAAGAAAGCATTTTCACTTTGCAAAAGTAACTTCTCAACAGTATGAACAAGGATGCGAGGAACCAGGAAAGTGGCATGCAAAGAAGCTCATTTCTGTGATAATAAAATATTAAAGCGATGAGCTAATTCTGAGTATTTTAACAGTGTGAGGGAACAAAGCTAGAGTTTAAATGAAAACATTCAAAACTAATACTCCCACTACTTATAGGCACATGTAAGCTGACAGATTGTTTTAGATGCAGAGTGTAACTGGAATACACAGAGCTAGTACCAAGCAAAAATAAGACTACAGGGGAAAATGCAGCTATAGAAAGATATGCGTGTTATAGAAAGAGATTTTGTTATGCCTTCTCTGTATGGGATCCTGAGTCAGAGCAGCAATGACGAAATAAAAGTTGTTTACTAAAGCTGGCAAGGAAAATAAATGTACAGCAGAAAGAATATGGTGAAAGAAGCAAACAGTAGCTCTGAGGGTGAGGGTTGAAGCATTCCTGGGGCTCGAGCAGTGAGGATCCGGGTCTGCAGAGGAGCCCTGGTGCAGCAGGAGGGGTGATGTGGTGCTGCCTGCCAGTGATGAGAGGCAAAAAAAACAGAGCTGAAAAGGCATCAGATGAGCCTGTGGCAGGCTGTGATGGTGCACAGGAGAGTTTGCTGCTCTTTTGAGGATTAAAAAGTCACTGTGGGGACTGTTAGCAGGTGGCTTCTTTGCCTGATGCCCATTAAATAAGTGAAATTTTCAGATGTTGACTGATGTGGTACCACCCACACTGGATGCCGATGGGCACAGCCCCGATCTCAGCAGGGCAGGAAGTGCCCGAAGTGCTCACATTACAGGAAGCTAAAAATCCTTCAGCCTTGTGCCTAAGATTATTTCTTTCCTCAAGGAAAATCCTGCATCCCAAAGTAATCCGTGAGGGGGTGTCTCAAGGTTTTTGTGAAAGAGGAGCTGTTCCCTCACAATAACACAAGGAAAAGCCCTGATGAGCATCACCCAGCACGGTGAGTGGGGTATGTCTGGTGCAGGCTGATTCACAAGAACAGAGAGTTTTGACATTGCTGAAAGACAAAAAACAAAAAGTGGTGCATGCTGATGGCTGTCACAGGAAAGACTCGCTCCTTTCAGCGCCTTGGTGCTGCAAAATACACTTTTTACAAGACAAAGGTCTTTTCTCAGGAGTTTGAATGGCTGTTTTTAGCTATTGACAAGCCTGGAGTTAGTAAAATAGACAAGTCTTTCTTTTATGTAAAGTGATAAATATAAATGTCCTATGATAAATAGTCAATGGAATATAATAAGTTCTTACACAAGTAAATGTGTTTAATTTTGTTCCCAGACAGCAGTGACAAAGGGATGTTGCACTCAATGTCTTGCAGTGATAGAGTTTCAGTAGTGAGAGGAAATGAGATCTTGTTTCTGAAAGGGGAGAGAGAGAAAGGCCTTGTGAATGAAGAACAAATCTGAAAGGTGCTGCTTCTTGCCTCTGTTTCTACTCTAATATCAGTGCAGAGAATAACAGTGGAAGCTGCAGCTGGAAAGGGCACTAGGGGTCACCCCTGTCTTATCTATGTCATCTGGATTTAATTCTGAACTAAGATAAATAACATGACAGAAAACAAAGACAGGCTATTCTGATTTATTTTTCTTTTCTTTTTTTTTTTTCTTTTTTTTTTTTTTTTTAATTGTGTGGGCCAGACAGCTTGCATTTCATTTCTTCGTTTTCCCCTCCTGCCTGCCTTCTGTCTGTCTCTCCTTTAAAACAAAGCCCCAGGAAGCCAGTGGGTTGCAGCCAGGGAGGATGCTATAGATGCAGGAGACTTGCATCAAAATGCCCTCTGTGTGCCTCCCATTTATTTAGAGCAAAGGTCAGGCAAATCACAAACACTAAGTCAGTCGGGCAGAATCACAGAGCAGCCTTGGCATGTTCCTGCAAGAACCACAGAGCAAACTGATTGCAGCCATGAATGGCTCCCTTGTAGCCCAGAGTAACTCCTGACACGTTTTGCTCTGCCTGCCCAAAAATCCCGTGCCTAAAGATCTTTCTCTCCCCTTTACTTTCCCCCCAACCAGAAAAGTGTCCCTGACTTCTCATGCAACTGCACCCGATACCTGCATTTGGAGGATTTGGTGTCTGGGCTATGAAGAGAATTGCAAATTCTCTTCTCAGAGACTCTTTTTGACCTTGTGTCTAGGAAGCAACCACTGCTGTCAGCTGAGTCTGCCATCTGAGTGTTGGAATTGTGCATTTTAAGGTGTGATGCAAGATGTCAAGGGAGGAAAAAGTATTTCTTTATGGAGACAGATGATTTTTCTCTAGACAGACAGGCTTTCAGGCACACAAGATGTGATGAAGAGGCTGCACCCCCTACCAGCCTGCTTTTTTTAGCTCTGGTTATTGATGTTGCAAGATGTAGATCCCCTTTTCTCTGCAGATAAATTATGGTAAATTGTGGTGGGTTTTGTTGCACGATGTGGTGAAAGTTGAAAGCTCACGACAACTTCAGAACTGACCTGTCAATTTATTGAAAGAATCAACTGCCAGGAGCTGGGAAACTACAAAGACAGAATTTCTGTCTTGGAAAGTCCCTTTCCTGCAGATTGCTGGAGACAGGAAGAGCTGCAGAGAAGCTTCCCCATAACCATGCCCCACTTGCATGCTCCTTCCTTGTAAGCACCAGGTATAATTCCCTTGGGATGACATGCTGGGGTTGGGTGATGTTTTGCCTGCCCAGCCACACGAGAACAGAGACACACGTTCTTGGATCATCAGAGGGATGATAAATCTGCTGGGAGCACGTTACTGTAGGGGCTGTTTCCGGAGCAGTACGAGGGCAAATCCAGACTCAGGGCTCAAGCAGCTGGCAGCACACATGGGACACCTCTGTCCCTGTCACTGGCTCCTGCCAGCTCCAGGCCTGGCCATCAGCTGCCCCTTAGCTCAGAGCTGGCTCAGTGTCAGTTCAGGTATCCGTGGGCTGCAGCAAAACTATCACCCAAAAGTGGGGGAGTGCTCCGGCTCCCTATTTCAGGCTTTTATGTAACATCCAGCTTATATAAGCCTTTGTCTGTTAACAAAATGGGTGGAGTGTGTCTCGCTCGGATTCCTCGCTAAAGAAACGCTCATTCCTTAACGCTTACTCAAGTGCTCATTACATACTTGAAGAATAATTTACTTAGTTCCTTTCCTGTTACTAATAATAGCATGGCAACTTGACAAACTGTTATGGACAAATGATAAAACATGTAATTCTCCATTCAATTAACTGCACCTTGGAATAAATGAGAAGCAGTGCTGTTGCGGTAGGTGAGGGGAAACTGAGCCATACCCCAGAGGTACTTAATGGGAAAATAAGGCATTCCCGTGAGGCAGAGAGGGTGGAAGAATAAGGCATACCCCAAACCCTGACCCTGGGCTGTGTATTGCTTTCTTCTTGCTGCCTCCTGGCCCGAGACAGTTTTAGGGTGCTGGCAGAGGAGGAAGGATGTTCTGGCCTTGCCAGGATGGTTTGGGCTGCAGGATGTGCCTGGGGACACAGCGTTGGTAGCACTATCCTCATCTTCAGGGTTCCACCCAGCATTGTTTCCCAGGTGGAGGGAAAAGGGAGGGGTGGGCAGGCAGCAGCACAACACTCTGCAGCCCATGTCCTCATCCCAAAGCTGATTTGCACCCCAGGGAAGTCCCACTGGTCTCTGTATTAATCTTTGCAGATCTGGAGTTCTGTCCTCCAGCAGGAAAATGTGGGTTGTATCCTGCTGTGTGGGAATGGTAAGGCATTAAAAGCTGTCCGACAACCAGAGCCTGTGATAGAGAAGACCATGTAAATTGTGTTCAGAGGGACTTGTTGAGCTCACTCAAACCTAACATTCACGTTCCTGCAGGGCTTTAAATAGACAGTGTGTCTGAGCTCAACACCATACGGAGCTGGTTTGCACTCTCTCCTTCCTCCAGATCCTGTGCTTCATCTACTGACGTGCTTGGCATTCCTTGAAGTTTTGTGAATTGCTGCAAAAAAAAAAAAAAGCAACCTCCCAGCCTCCCATTTTATTTTATTTTCCCCCTTCTTTTTCCCCCTTAAAGCCTTGCCTTTCCCTGCAGCCCTGGCCCTATCCCTCCTCAGCTGCTCAGGGCAGCTGCCACACGGTGGCATCCAGGTATCTGTGGAACGATGTACCAGTGAGGAAAAGGGCGGGACAGCTTGGATTCGGGCATTTCCTGCTCAAAAGCAAGTTTGTGATACAAGAAAAATGTATTATTTTAGTTCTGAGGCGCATTTCTGTCCCCTGAGGCTCTGAAGGGGTGATACAGAGGGGAGACGCGCTGCTGCCAGGAAAATCAAGCTAGACGTGGTATCTCATGTGTTATTCAATATATTTTTTCTTCTCCTTTTTTTTATTTTTTTAAGGGTTTTAAATTTTTTTTTTCATTTACCACTTTCATCCACACCCCCTCTTGCCGAGAGAAGGAAAAAAGTCCCAACCAAACCCAAACAACAAGGGCATTGTTTGTGTTTCCATGGGAATTCTGTGAGAGGAGAAGGGCGTGAAAGAAAACTGAAATATTCTGGCCAAATCTGATAAGGTTTGGATCCTGAGCAGCCCCCGGGGTTGTCTTGGAGCAACTAAAGTCCAGGGGTCCTGCTGTCACCTGACTGTGCAGGGGGGTTGCTGCTGTGTCATGGGAGGTATTTACACTGCTGTGGAATTTTGCCAGAAAAAGCATTTTATATGGGAGAAGACAAGACTACAACTCCCAGGAGGCCCTGTGGCCGAGTCAGGCACTGGTTGCTGAAGTGCCTTTCAAAAAACTTCTTTCCCTGCCTGTTCCTTCAGAGTTAGGAGGACAATAGTGGTCCTTGAAGGAAAGAGGAGGAAAAAAAGTACTTGACAATGTGATTTCTACAAGCAACCCTGCCTTTTCCTTTTGGAATACTGGTCTTATGGGATAAAACAATAAAAAACTTGGGGTTTGTTTTTATTTTGGTTTTGCTTTGGCGGTTTTTTTGGTGTTTTTTTTTCGTGTGTGTGTGTATATGTGCTGACCCACACTTGGTGTCAGGGAGCCCCTGCATGGCTAAAGGGGAACTATAAGAAGGAAAAAGGCCTTTTCAATGCCTGCAGATATGGAGGACACTTCAGATCCACCCTGGCATTTGATGGTTATTTTTTCATTTTTCCATCTTTGGTGTGTATGTTGCTGTGAACAGTGTTAGAAGTACTGGGCTGGGGAACAGCCCATTATTGGTGACAATATGAATAACACAGGGCTGGGGTTTGTACTGGTGTAGCTGGGCTCATTTAACAAAGGAAAAGCAAATGGCTGATAAAAAAATCTCGATGTGTAAAACCCTCTATTTAGGTGACACCTGTGATCAACATGTCTGACAGATTCCTGATGTGGCTCTGCTGAGATCCTTCCTGCCCTCCAACCCATTGGCAAAACTGCTTTTTGCCACGGAGGGAGACTATTTTTCAGGTTGTGAAAAAATGGTTTGAGAGGTCTGGAGAAGGTGATGCTTCTCTGTGCTGTAACACGTTCACTCCTGCCTTAGTTTGGCATTTATTTTCCCCCCTTTTTCCCCCCTTAAAGCCTTTTCTTGTTTGGCATTTCTCTAGTGTCCTGCAGCTCTCTGGTCCTCCCCCTTCTCCCTGTGTTGTGATGTCAAGTGGTGGCCGAGATTGAAGACAATGTCCTTATTTTAAACGAATGCCTGTTTCTTTTCCTGTATTATCTTTCAGCAGGTGGATTGGGTTTGGTGTGCAGCAGCACAGGCTTTTAGTTTGCCAAGAGCCCTTCTGCAGATGTCTCTACATGCCTCATGTGGCCCCACTTCATTGGGCATGGAAGTGAAATTTTTTAGAGTGAAGAAAAAAACATGAAGTACAACTAAATAATAACAATAGCTAATATCAGTACCTTGGGTTTACAGACTGCAGTCACCTCAATCCCTGTCAATGAGAGCACTGTTTGCACCAGAGTTTCACCTTAAATAAGAAAACTTCAGACCCCTGTGATGACATCAGACATCCTTTGAGGGATATGAGGAAGTTCCTGAAGATTGAAAAGAAGGTGGGAGAGAACCAAAGAAACTCCTGACAGATAATACTGTGCTTCTTCAGAGATCAAGATATTTTCAAGGGTATGTGCCAAGCATCCACTTCATGAACTGCCTCTGGGACAGGGAAGGTTCTGGGAAGTGTAGAAAACCACTAATGGGACATGGGCACAGACAGTGGTGTTTCTGCTGGGAGAGATGGTAACTGTGTATGTGGAGAACCTGCTCTGTTGTGGTGCTGCAGAGGGGGATTTGTGCAAAATAGAGGCCAAAATGCTCACTTACACTGTCTGCTCTCTTCTACTGGTCTAGCCCTGCTCACTGCCAACATAAACCTACAGCAGAGAGATTAAATACAAATTAAATGAGCTAAGGTTTATGGATTTGGAAAGATTTGCCAAATTTTTGACCAAAGTCATGGAGGGGATGAGCACTGAAATGGACTCTGAGCAGGAGGGAAGGGGTTTGTCTGCAGAGAAAGTTTATTTCTCTGTCTGATATGCCCCTGCTCTGCATCAACACACGTGGAGAGGTGTGCAGAGATGAGAGGTGGCAGAGATCCTCTGCAGCCCACTGGCCTCCAGGGAGCTGGGGGTGAACAGAGGTGTGTCCAGAGAAGATGGCAGAGATTGGGCATCCTGGGAAGGAGGGTGCCCTGAGGGATGCTCCCCGTGCTCTCTCTCCATTCATTCCTATTCCATATGTTTAGCATGAGAGCTCTCTGCAGTGTGGGGTAATGTGCCTGTCTGGAACACAGCTCTGCCCACACTTTGGGGTGGAAATGTAGCGATATAGGGTAACTCTGAATATTTCCCATTGCCCTGCACTGTTCCACCCCGGTTTCCTCTCTTGCTTTGTTCCTATGCTTTTTCCTTGCTCATGCAGCCAGCACTGCTGAGCCACCTTGACTCACAGCTCTCCACAGATGCTGAATGGGGCAGTGCGTGAGCCCAACCCTGGGAGCCGAAGGAAACCGTGTTGCAATGTTATTGGGAACCCACCTTAGATTTCCAAGTTTGATTTTAGGTGTGTAGCACATCACTCACACTGGCTTTGTTAAGGTGTTGGTAAGCCAGGTCACAGTAAACCCAATGTAAATGAGCTGAGCCAAGGTGTTACAGGTGTGCCCATAAACAAGGCAGGTGCGTTCTGGTGGAGGATGTGATGCTTCAATATTGCCCTGCCAGAGTAGGGGACAGAGGCTGCCTCTGAACCAGCAGTAATCAAAGTTGTGTTATTTATTACATCTACATCTGAGGACTGTGGTTGAGTTCTTCATCATTTAAAGAAATAAAAAATAAAGTCATTTAAGGGAGAAAAATATCCCAATAACCATGTTGAAGTCTTGCTGTAGATACTGAAGTGCAATCACTGAGTTCCCTGGAAGAAATCACCAAAATCTCACTGTACAGCCGCAGCACTGAGAGCTGCAGTGCTGCAGACAGATTTTGGGCGTTTCACCAGCACTCACGGCTGGGTTATCGCTGAAACCTGCTGAGAATTTTACTTATCCACGTGTCAGTTCAGTGCTTCTGCAAAGCACAAAAATTTTCTCTCTAGCTAAAAAAATCTGCTTCTTTGCATATTAAAAAGGGCATATGGGAACTAACATGGGAAATGCAGCATGTGCAGGGGAGGACGGCTCGGATCCAAACAGCACCGGACTGTAACTATTGGGTTGTCTTATGCTAAAAAAACCAAAAAGCATCGCATTTAATAATTGTTAATTTTCACAGGCTTTTTCAATCTGTTTCCGTGGCCGAACGCAGTTTCTCGGTTACGGCGGGGAGCCTTGGCTTCTCCTTCCCGGAGCGTCCGGGCACGAAAGGGAGAACCGTGCTCCCTCTCGGAGCACGCAGGAATCTCAAATCCCCTTCCCGCGCTGCAAAGTTGGGCTGAAATAACCGAGCCCGTCCTCAGTCGCTCCCTCTCGTTCCCCCACGGCGCCCACCCCGTCCCTGCCCTGGGCCGTGTCCCGGGAGCGGCCGCGGTGCCCTCAGGGGGCGGGCGCGGGGCGGGCCCGGGGCCGGGCCTGGGCAGCGCGCCCGAGCTCAGCGGGCGGGGCCGGCTGTAGGGAGGCTCCTTGGGCTGCTCCGGGCTGCTCCTCCGGCTGCTGCCCCGCGAGGGGGACGGGACCCGGCTGGCTCTGGCTCTGGCTCTGACGGCACCATGGGGCACCCGCGGCCGCGGGGGCCGGAGGTGGGTGCGGGCGAGGGCGGCCGCGGGGGTGCCCCGGAGTGGGCGCCCGGCCCGGGGCACGGCGGTGACTTCAGCGCAGAGCTTCTGTTGTCAAGTGAATGCCCTGTCCGGGCGCTTTGCTGGGGCACGCTTTGCCGCGGGGAGGTGTTTGTCGCCTGTCGGACACACTCGGGATGGTTTGCGCGTATTTTGTGCTGTGGAATGGGTGGGTTTGGGTCAGTGCGGTCCTGCCTTGTGGCCAGCGCGGGCGGCTGGGTTTGGGAAACTCGGCGATGTGGTGAACTTCAGTGTCCCCGGCACTGGTGAAGCCGTGACCCTGCCACGTCCCTTCCGCACCCGCTGTTTTTGGGCTGTGGGAAAACCCTGGGAGTTACTCAACGTGCTGACACAACCCGTTCTGCCGAGCTGCCGGGTGGGTTTCTTGCAATGAAAGCCTTTTCTGCCTGTTGCTGGTTTTCTTTATTTGGCGTGGTGCTCTCTAGAAATCTTCAGCCCCAAGGTGCCTCTGGTCTGAGCTGGACCGTGGCTCATGTCAGTGCAGCTCCATTGGCTTTGGAAGCTTTCCCCCGGGCTCTCTCACACAGAAGGACAATGCCCATTGTGTGCCCAGGTCTGCGTGTTCCCCACATCCCTCCTTTCAGTAAATCTGCACGATGCCTCCAGTGAGGCTGCTTGGGGACAGGCATCGGCATTTGGTGGATGAAGCTCTGCTGATTTCACACTGGTGGAAGATGGTAAGTGTGGATGTCATGGCGAGGCCGGTGTGCCCATGGCTGCTGGGACAGAAGCTCCCTGTTTGCGTACGGCGTTGTGTTTGGAGGTGCCTGTGTTTGCATCTTGAAGAGTGGGAGCTCTCTTTCGAGTGTCTTTAACCGCTCAAGAATTCGTGTTTTCCCTCCCGTGCCACCTCTACCATTTGATAAGTGTGAGCTCATGGCAGAGGCTCGCAGGTAACCAAGGAACTTAATTTCCAGCCACCTCACGATGCTCACAGGAGTGTTAGCCCTGTAGCTTGGGTCTCATGGCCAGATCCTACCCAGCTTAGCCAGAAGTTGGAAAGCTCTGAGTTTGAGTCTGTGGGATACCCTTCCTTTGCTGCTTGAGAGCCCTTTTCTCAGGATCACCGTTACCTGTGATGCTGAGCACTCCCTGGCACTGCTGGGGTCCCCGATCTGGGCGCAGAGGACTGGCGTGGGATGGCAGCAGCCAGTCCCCACTGTGCACCTGTCCTGCCTTTGCCTGCGGCTGGAAGATGCCCTTCTGTCCATGAGGTAGCACTAAGCTTGTAAAATCAGATTTTTTTGCAGTGGGGAAGAGTGCCTGGGCTCCCCCAGGGCTGGGGGTCCAGCACAGGGGCGATCTCCCACGGTGTCCCCATCGCCCATCTTGGTGTGGGCTGTTCTGGCTGGGGACACTGAGCCTTGGATCTGCCATCCCTCTGGAGAGGAGGCCAGCCCCAGGCTTGGTCAGAGCTCCCTGTTGGACAGGGCCAAGGTCAGATCCCTCTGAAAAGACCTGCTGAAATTTACAGAGATTGCTGCAGACTGTGCTTCAGCCGATTGAATGAAAGTTTATTGAGACTTACAGCGATTGAATTTGGCTTTGCTAAGATTTAACTTTCCTAAGTAGAGAAGATTGAAGGGTTTCACTTAAATACTCATTAGTGTTTTTAGTTTTATCTTGATATATAACATTATCCTTTTCAGGATTATTGAAAATTAGTGTTGAGGCTCTGATCTTACTGGAAAAGACTTAATTAATTCACTTTTCCTGGAGGCCGCTCCTGCCACAAAAAATGCTGTTGTTGACAGGTGTCTCCTGAGGTCTCACAGCTGAGGAAGAGTGTGCTGGTATCAGAATTGCAGCTTCTTTAAAATGCTGAAGATGCTGTTTCACATGCGTGTAAATGAAATTGTAAGTACTAGGTAGGTGATAGTTGTGAAATTAATCTTTCACAAAGCAAGCTGCAATCTCTTGCCTCTCCTAGAAATTTTTACTACTCTTTACAGTAACAAAGTGTAAAGGGTTGTGTCATTTTGACATTGTTATTCCTGTAATTTAGAAAGTGCTCTTTAGACTGCAGGTGTGTTTGTGGTGGAGGAAGGATGTTTTAAGGGAGCGGGTCTTATCTCCAGCAGTGATTTGAGCAATCTCTTACGTGATTAAGGGAAAGTTCAGCCAGCTGAACTTGGGTTTTACATTATTCCTTCTCTGAAAATGGATTTAAAGCAGGTTATCAAAACTTCAGGGAAAGAAATTTCAGGGGAATGCACTTAAATGCTGGCATTACCACAAGTGTTATTTCCTTGAAATAACATAATAAGGAAGATATCAGTTACTAATGTTCATAGAGGCTTCTAGTTTTATCTTCTCTCTGTCTGTATGCAGTGAATACATCAAAGGAGAAACTCAGTGTCTGAAATTGCTGGGGTTTTGTGGGAAGCCATTGTGCTCTGTGAGGAGCAGCACCTTTCTGATGCTTTTGCTGCAAACAGGTGGTTCCTTAATTTCATGTTGGAACAGCTATTTTGCAGCAAGTGATTTAAAATAATAATGATAATAGATCTTTAGTAAGAATCAGCATTAGCCAGTGACCCTAAATCTGTGTATAACAGAGCTGAAGAAGCAATTTGATTTTCTTCTGGAGTGTCTGATGTCAGTAGGCACTTGGTCTTGGCTAAGGGTGAGGAAGGAGGGCGAGAGCAAACCTTTACATGCCTTTTTCCTTCTATTGTCTGACTGGCAATTATTTGATGATGTGTTTTTAACTTGCTCTCACATGCCCTGTACACTGGAAACTCCTACAGGGACTGAAATTTGGTCATAATCATTTGCCTGACAGGAGCTGCGACTGTGTCTTTTTTGCCTTTCCTTCACAAAACCTT